AGTCATACCATCGCTGATAAATTAATTTGTTAGATTATAGATTGTACTAGTTGATAATAGTTCAACTAAATAAGACACTTGTTGACACCTATTTTTAATTTGCCCAAAATTAATTGCACAAAATTTAGGAATTAATTTTCTTTAATTCCTAAAACAAAAAAATTTCTATTTAAATGCATTGCATATAGACATTAGGCATATTTTCATTAATAGGGTCTATTAGAGCATATTTTCTTAATTAATTTTCAAAAAATTAAATAAAAAAAATTATTTAAAAAAAAAAAATATCGGATCGCATCGGGCCAAGGCCGGCCCAGCCCTCTTTTTCTTTTTTCTCCTCCTCCCTGCGCGGACTGGGCCTGGCCCGGCCCAGCCCCTTCCTTTCTTCTTCCCCCTCGCCAAGCGGTCGCTCTCCTTCCCCTGTTTTCCGCGCGGCTAGCGAGGCGCAGCTGGCTGGTGGCGCGCGGCCGCCAGGTCCCCATCCGGCCGAGCGGAGACCGGGCAAGACGCCACGGGGACCGGCCATTAAGGCCGATCCCTTCTCCCCTGTTTCCCGGTCTCTCTTTTCTCTCTCTCTCTCCTTCTCCTCTCCGTCTCGGCACATTTGACCCCTCGCTCCGCACCGGCTCGCCATAGCCACGAAAGTCGTGGGGTGGCGTAGGCCAGTGCAGGCCATCGTCACGCCGACGCGGCCGGGCCCAGACTCGTCGTCGTCGGCTATGAAAGACAGAAAGAGAGAGAGAGAGGGGGTCGGCCATTTTTGAGAAAAAGACAGAGAGAAAGAGAGAGACTGAGCAAGACAGAGAGACCGAGAGCTCTTCCGGCGACTGCCGTGCTCGCATCGCGTCTCAGCCATCCATCCCCGCCGCCGAGCCGACGGCGGTGACACAGTGAGAGAGAGAGAGCCCCCGGTCGGCGAAACATAGAGAGAGACTGAGAGAGACAAAAGAGAGAATAGAGGGAGAGAGAGGGAGCCAAGAACCAGCCGGAGCTAAAGAAGAACCAGCAACGGTCGTCGACGCCGCCAGACTAGCCGGAAGCCGCCCAGACGCGCTGTCGACCGGTGAGCCCCCCTCGGCCGCGAAGCTCCCCTGTTTTCCCCTGATTTTTGGCTCGGTTTGGCCGAGACTCGCGCCGGCCGTTTCGCGCGAATCCCGGCCCATACCGTCGTCGGTCCCGATCCCTAGTCGCCGTCGGAGGTGAACCCAAGCCGCCGGAGTCGACCGGATCGCCGGAGGAGGTCGGAATCCCCCGTTTTTCCACGCGCCCGCCAGGCGTTCGACGAAATGCCTCAACCACGCCGGTTTTTGTTTCATCGCCGGCCGGCGAACGGTGGTTCGACGGCGGCTCAGGTGAGTGGCACAGCCCACAGGCGGTCCTAGTCGGGCGACTTGGGGGCGGCGCTGGCCTGGGTCAGCCGGCGGACGGCCAATTTTGGCCTCGCCGGCGCCCCCCTCCCCGCGGGTCTGTTTGTTCGGGTCGGATTCGACCCGAATCAACAGATCCGACCCGGGTCAACGCCCGGGTCGGATCCGTTGAATCGGGTCGGTTCCGACCAACCCGGATTCACAGTTCCGACCCGGGTCAACGCCCAGGTCGGATCTGTTGACCCGGGTCTGTTCCGACCGACCCGGATTGACCGATCCGCCCGGGTCAACGCCCGGGTCGGATCCGTTGACCCGGGTCGGTTCCGACCGACCCGGATTGACCGATCCGACCCGGGTCAACGCCCGGGTCGGATCCGTTGACCCGGGTCGGATCCGACCCGACCCGGTTAATATTATATTATTATTTTATTTTATTTAAAAAAAATAAATTAACTTTTTTTTGTATTATTATTTTTTTCTTTTTTTTCGAAAAAAAAAATTTAAATTTAAATTTTTTTTAAAAAAATTATGTTATATCTAAGTTTTTAATTTATTGCTGTATTATTATGCATATTATTGTCTTATTTAAATTGGACAAGCCTGAGATTGCGCGTTAATATTTTGCATGTTATTTTTATTATCGCCGTATTATTATGCATGTTTTTAATACAATCGCATGAGTTGTGTTTTGAATGTCATCTGACTTAGTTAAGGTTAGAACCTTAGGCTGCATGAATTGTTGTGTTCCTGACTGCTAATCGTTTCTGATTATGCACTCGCTTGATCACCTCACATGTTAGGAGAAAGGTCCTAAAATCAATCCAAATTGCCTGACAAATGTTTTCAGAAATGAACAGGGTAAAATGGTACCGAAAGGGCATTAGTTATCCAACTAGTGTAACCAAGTCCCCTAACTCATTTAATCTCTGGTCCGTAGGAATAGGGTGATTCTCCCATCACCCTATTTGGGTTTCTAATCGACCCACCACAAATCGATTAGTGGCGACTCCTTGGTATAAATCACTTGCATGTTAAATACTTAAACCCTAAGTCGCGATATGGTATAGGCTTGAGAGGGCCCGAGTTAAGTCCCGAACCTAGACTTAGCACGTACCAGGCGAGCCCCCCTTTTTTGCATGTTGTTTAAAAAAAGGGCTCAGGAGTTCGGTTGCGACAACACTTAAGCTTAACCTGATAAGAATGATCTAAATGCGGAAGATTTACTGCGTTTGTGGGTATATTTCATTATGTTCAAGCGGATTTATGGGCATTGTGGCATGGCCTGAATCTGGGTTTGTTAAACTAATTTTTTGACCATTAAAAATTCCAAATTTGTTCACCCGTGACAAATTTATTCTCCGTTAGTTTCCTTTAAATTTTAATTGCTGAGTTAGATGACACGTGACAATTGATAAATGTACCATTTTAGGGTTTTGCCTCTCTATTTGTCACAAGTTTACCAGTTTGCGATTTTTCGTGGTATTAATCTAATTTAACGAAGAGTAAATTTGTCACGAGTGTACCGATTTGATTTTTTCGCGGTTAAAAAATTAGTTTGGGGTAAATTTATCGCAAGTTTACCGATTTGGCGTTTTTCGTGGTATTAGCCCTAAAAAAAATCGATGATAAAAGGTGCGATTTTAGCGTAATTTCATGAATTTCACATATATATTCATCAATTTTGATTTTCAATACGTTTTTTCTTTATTGGTTTTGGCCGATGAAACGACAAATTTTTAAAAGAGAACATCGCGCTGCAGACCGGGGCTGAGATGGACACATGCGACATCCCACGTGCAACCATAACAAAACATAACAAATCATTCGCATTATTCGGGGACTATGTATTAAATTGTACCAACGTCGCCTAAGCTAGCCGCAATATAATCTTTTAGATTTTTTCAAGGTTTTTGTCCGGATGCTAATAGATTTTTTTTTTCCTTCTAGCTTTAAGTGAGCCCGCGGATATTTTTGTATAGTTCCGAAATATTACTTTTATTTTTTTTATAATCCGAAACACAGGCGCAAAGGGCACAACTACCGTTCTCATAACCGGTTAATGGTGCGTTTGATTTGGCTTTTGGGTAAAGTTTTTGGGACAATGCAAACGCCTTTAGGTTGAAGGAATTTTTCGAAATGTAGGTAGTGTTTAATAAATTATAATTTAAAAGTGTATTGAGAAGCAACTTTGGTTTAAATGGTGTTACGAAATATCACACTTTGTACTAAGGGCTCTGTGGCCAACGAGCTAGATCTAGTGTGACCTCAGGCCACTTAGTTGCCGATGCCAGTTTTGGCCTCGCCGGCGACGTCGTGCGAAGTGAGGACATTTCTAGAATTATGAAAGTTTAACGAGACAAAGTTGGTAGAAAAAAAATGTATTAATATTCTAGAAATGCTCAAAACCCAAAGCACCTATGGACGTGGTTTAGGTAAAATGCCTTTAGAGGCTTTTGGAAATGCAATTGCATCTCCATAAAACTCTTCACAAAATTTGTCAAATGGTACTTGTATTTGCGGAACGCACTCTAAGTCCAGGTCTTTGCCTGCATGAGTGGTCCTAAATAAGAGGCATCTTACAAGCACTTGGTGAAATTTAAATATGTGACATTTTCGAGTTAGAAATCTCTCGACTTCTGCACAATTGTGACCGAGTCCTAATCGGATTCAATCGTGAGTGATGACCAAAAGAAGACAAATTGGATTTGAATGATTGGTGCGTTGAATCATAAGTCTTTGTCAATCTATTAAGACTTGTAATTGAGATTCCAAATCAGTTGACCAAGTTAAAATCCTCAGGTAGATTATAAATCAATAAGATTTGATTTTGGGCAAGTGAGGAACTCAATTAAACTACATTATGTACTACGATATGTAGTTTCTTTTTCCAATCTTTTTATGATGGAAAAGAGTGAAAATGAGCGATTACCACTGGCGACTCTCTAAACATTATTGTAATGTTCCACATGCAGGTCCAATCTGATGTCACCAGGGCCACCACTTTGGTAGTCTATCAGTCATGGTTTGAAAATCTCAAAAGACCATGGGACCTATTTTGTGAAAAAAAATCATATTCTCGTCACATTAGGCAAAAATTATTTTGTAAAAGATAGTTGTATGGATGGGGTTTTTACTGTTTATTGTGTCAGAATGACATTCACTTTTATAATCTCAAACTTTCAATATTCTTTTCCCTCTTAGTAATTGAGATTTCAAATCTCAAACCTTTGAAAATATATAAATATTTTCGATATTCGAAGTCTTTTCTGGCAGGTATAATTAGCCAATAAATTTATAGTCATTTATAAATTGTGTATTCTTTAGCATAATTTCTTGGGAAATTCAAACATATTTCCTTAATGAAAGCGGAAAGCCAAAAGTAAGTTTTTTTTTTACTTATCAAGACAAGACGAAGCAAAGACAAATTATTTTTGTTCACAATATAAAGAAAAAAGAGGAAAAAAAGGGGGCCTAGTACAACCAAAATTTCCTTGTCCAAAAGATGCAGAGGAACCCAAATCAACAGAATCAAAATCTGTCACCCCATGACCCGGCTCTCTTCCTCTTATAAATCCCCCATTCTCTCCCTTCCATCTCTCTTCTCCCATTAACTCATAACCATCTCTCTCTCTCTCCCTCTCTCTCTCTCTCTCAACAAATCCTCCATTCAAGGCCTCCTTGTCCTGGCATTACATCCACCGGGAAAGATGCATTTCTGTGGAGCTTGAAAATAGGAGGAGGATTTGAAGCTCTTCAATGGAACATTTTGCCTCTCCTTAGGAGGATGATCGACTGCATCGGCGACGAATAAAAGATGGGTCGTGTTAAGCTAGAGATAAGGAGGATAGAGAACATCACGAACCGCCAAGTGACGTTCTCGAAGCGCAGGAATGGGCTCATCAAGAAGGCGTACGAGCTCTCCGTCCTCTGCGACATCGACATCGCTCTCATCATGTTCTCTCCCTCCGACCGCGTGAGCCACTTTTCGGGAAAAAGAAGGTAACGTTGGTCGTGTTTGATATGTAATTATCTCCGAGCTTCAGGTTTCGAAATTTAATCGTGGCATCTTTTGCTGGTCATCTTTGTCATTTACATGGTAATAGAGAGACCGATATCTGGCATGCTTTGTCATGTTGTTTGTCATTTGCATGGTGAGAAGAAGCCAAAATGCCGTCATTGCTTCGTTGTTGGGGTGAAATAAAAAAACTAGGAAGCGGAACTTCTTCCAGAACCCGCAATCCTGTTGATTACTTTAGACAAGTTCAAGAGACAATTCTGTACTTGTCTCATTTTCTGATAAACAACAGAGAAATTATTAGGGGAATGTAGAAGTTTTTGAGCTTTTTGTTTGTACTTTCAACGATATGAATATTGATCATAGGTCGTTTCCAATCATCTCCATAGGTTGACCAATATTTAAAGTTTTGAACATACCTAATGATTGTTTGAGCAATGCTTACGGATATGTCAGGAGGTAAAATAAATTTAAACACATCTTACTAATTCAAGTCAATTACACATGAAGAGACAGAATTTTTTCGTTTTGTTTTGGTTGACAATGGGGCGTCAAAGATTATTCGAGTAGCCGACTAATCCCGCTCGAGTGCGATAGCCCCTGTACACAAAATAATAATTGGAAATGCATAGGTCCGTATCCTCAGTAATGGCTTCAAGAGAATGCATAATTGTCATGATTACAACCCAAGTCTTGAGCATGGAACACGAGCATGTTAATCAATTGAGCTACCCCTTTGGCATTGAAATAGTATGACGCATATCACATGGAAAAGATAAAAAAGACCGACTTTCTCACATATCTTGTACAGTGTTGGGTTATATTAATCATATGACACACAGAATGAGCCTAAAAATTACTTTATACAGCTTAGATACATTTTTTGTCTTCATTTTTCTTCGACAATGGTTTCCATCAAGTATATGTCCTGATTCTTTTCGCCCTTGTTACTATCATTGCTTTCCTTCTCTCCCTTTGTTCCGTTTCTTCTTCTATCAATACTGCCCTTCTCTTCCATGAGCCTCTGCACTGCATATTGCACTCAGAGACTTCCTCCACCATCGCCGCCGACCTCTGTCCGAGCCATGCGACCCTATTGCACATCTCATCTGCCATCGCCACTCTCTCTCTCTCTCTCTCTCTCTCTCTCTACTGAGTTCACGTCTGCTAATTTGAGGTTGAGACCTCATTTTGCACGGTCCGTTAATCGGAGGTTGCCCGAGGCCCGGTGACCTTTGATTCATGAGGAAGAGATCAGCAAATAGTGAGGAGGAGGAGGTGGCGACGAGCGACAGTAGCAACCGAGAGAGGCGACATGGGTAGGATAGAAGCATAGAGATCTCTACAGTTCTGTCATGTGTCAAATAGTAGTGTTATTCTGGGATGGATTGGTGTTAGCAGTAATGAGATATCTCTTCAGATACTAGAGAAAAACAAGAAGGCACACATGCATGTATGAAGAGGAAACGAAACTCAACTTAGTTTTGAAAAGTGAATTTAAATTGTTGTAAGATGAAAAATATTTAACTCATATTATTTTTGTGGTGTCCATTGTTTGAATATATATTATCATTATTACTTCAATGTCAATCAGGAAAAATAATTTCCCATTTTCTGCGCGAATTTCTACTTTTTGTTGCCTCTAATTTCGTAATTTCATGCTCAGTTTTATTTTGAGCTTCAGTTGAAGTTCCGCTACTTCTAATTGTTTAATTTGACTAGACAAATCTCTTAATCAGGATCGAGGATGTGCTCACCCGTTTCATTAACCTCTCCGACCAAGAACGAGACACGTATGCAATTAAAACTTTACAAAAATGTCGACCACTTCTTTTTTTATGGTTTTTCTTTCAAGATTAATTGTTTATAATTTTTTTTTTGTTTTTGCCTTTTGTCAGTCCTAGATGTCCAGGATCGTCGCACGCTGACCACCCCAAATTTCCGTAGGCCCTCAAATTTATCAATTTTTTTTTATCCTAATTAATTTCTTAGTGCTTGGTTCTGAACTTGATTCCTCATAATCATCTCTAATTTTTGTTTTGCAGCGCTATCCAAAACAAAGAGGTGCAAATTGACACTCTTCTCACATTGCTTTTCAGAAATTTTCTCTCTAAGTTATCAATTTTCTCTCAAAATTAATTTGCTCTCGCAGTACTTGCTCAGGACCCTCCAGCAACTTAAGAATGAGAATGACCTCGCTCTCCAAATTGCAAAGTGTGTTGGACCCTCCCTCCCTATTTCATTTTATTATATTCGTAAAAACGGATCGAACTAATCCCGAAATGAATTTATTTGCTCCGCACTTCGATGTATCTTTGATTGATTCGACAAAAGTCCGGGGGCAGTCGACTCCGATGCCGAGGTAAACACGAACTTCTCCGCGATAAATTAAGCTCTTGTGGTAGCAAATGAACAATTATTCAGGTGTCTGAATTGAGCTGAGTATTGTAGGAGCTCCATCAGCAAATTGGCATATTGAGGCAGCAACTTCTGGAGGCAGACGAGCAGATACGGTACTCCTAATAGAAATCTATATATGTGCACCAAGATTTGATTTAATGGTGTGGTTACTTATGTAATTATCGATTTGCTAATCACTCCGCACGACTGGTGGGGCACTAGCTCCTGTATGAATTTGACAATAGGACACTTTGGGATACGCGTTGTTATTTATTAGAAATTCTGAATAGAGTGAAAAATCATGCATGTTTTGCTGCTCTCAATTCCTAGAAAAGAAATTAATAAAAGTTTATACTAATAGTCAGAAATTACTTTTATTTATTATTGCTAATTCTCGGTAACTGGAAGGATATCTTTTTGGCTTCTGAAAAATGCAGAATATATGAGCCGACTCTGCTTCCAAAAAATACATCTTTGAAGGATCTGGAGTCAATTGAGAATACTCTTGTGGACACCCTTCAACGCGTGGTGCAGAGAAAGGTGAATATTTGTAATTTAGCATAGTATTCTTGAAATGCATATGCTTTTTATTTATTTATTTATGATATTAGCAAGAATGAACCAACACAACAATTTATGTAGAAAAATTTAAGTTATTGTGCTTGTATATAGTTACATGTTCACTGTTCAGCCCCAAGTCATAACTATTACAAATTGTACATTGTATATTTAAAATTAAATTCGTTGGATTATTAGACAGATTATTATGGTAGGAAATTAGACCACTGAGCTAAAATTGCTAATATTCTTTTTGGCAGGAGCAGTTGATGGTAAACCATCTATCTCCTTACGATCCATCCGGTATGCAGGTAATTTAGCAAAATTTAGACCTTATCAAAACGTGTAAATAGTCGTTTTTCATGTTATTTATTTCCTTTATAATGAGTTGTAGCAAGGGATGTCGAGCTCCTTCGACAATGATGTCGGGTGGTTGTCGGAAAACGATCCAAACAATGCGCAGTTCTTCGACTCATCCGCTTCTCTCATGCAAGTCAGGCAAGTTGTGAGCATTTTATCGAATGGCTTAACTTGTGTAGAATAATTTTAGTTTACCCTTGCAATTTTGTGTTTGCTTGGAGTTTAATTTCCGAAATGCAAGGCTGCAATAATTATTTGTCGACTAATGACGAACCCGTAACTTCCCGGCATAATCCAATGTTGTTTTTGCATCTATTATGCAAGTCATTAATATACGAAGAGCTACAATTGCAGGGATCTCTCATCTTCACTATATCAAACGTTAGTACAAGCGACGGGCTCAAGCTGCATTGACCCAAGAAGCATGGCAGAGTCACATGTATCAAACCCTAGTGAAGGAAATATCTCAGCTTGGCCTCAGGAGTACACTTCAACTGCCCACAATCCAAATATGATTCCTCAGTCCTTTTACACTCAGGTTTAACTTTTTGTTTTATTAATTTCTTTTGCCATGATTTTTCACCTGTAATTATATTAAAAAAGTTATAAATGCATATTAAATAAAAACTTCTTGTTGAAGCAGCATGGCATGGGGGTCCCGGAATTGCCAGAAGTGATGCAATGTGAGCAGGTGGAGATGCCAATGAGCAGCTCCCACCTAACAGCAGATAATGAAGCTCCGCAATATGACAGAAAAGGCCCTCAGATCAATGGGCAATGAGTAATTAATTATTATTATTATTTTTATTTTGATTACCCTTTGTTGGGTTAAATTGTATTTAGAAAAGTGCTTACATGTGTGGAGAAACTCACTCCAGCAATTACTTGTAATTAGTGGCCAGAATCTTTCACGTGAAAGCTTTGTAGAATATAATGAATTGTTGTGAAATATGAAGTTCCTATGCTCTTCACAAAAATTTTGTGTGCCCCACCAGCTGGTCATTACTTTGGCTCTGTCTAAATGTGTCTGTTAAAAGATGTTTTGAGTTTGAGCTCATTGAACAAAACATGACCCGACATTGATTAAAGGAAAGTCCATGAAAGTTGACTTTTTTTTTTGTGGAGGTTTGAAATCGAGGAAAGAAGATTACTACAAATTGGAGTGGGCGTAAGAAAGAAAAATAAATAGAAAAGGAAAGTCTCATATCCACTTTTCTATTTTGAGAGATTATTTTGTAAAAAATTGTGAGAGCTAACCAATTGTGAGTTATTTGAAATAATTGAGGTTGGGAAATACTGAGAGTATTTGAGTGATTCAAGTGTGGTTGTAATCTTCTTTATATCACTTGATCTATAGTGGAATCTTTTGTTGCTTTCACTATTGACGTAGATCACACCGACCAAACCATATAGAACTAGTGTCTGATTTTTTTTGTTCTGTTGATTTTATTGTTCGATCGCTTGTTCTGCAACAATTGGTATTAGAGTTAGTGTTGGGTGAGTTGAAGCGCATCGATAGTAATAGAAGAAGGAAAAATGAGAATTGACAAATTAAATTGGAAGGTTTTTGGTTTCTAGAAGATGCAAATTGATGATTATCTTTATAAGAGGAATTTGCACTTGCCCATGTTTGTGGAGACACCCCACTTGTTGCAGCAAGCTAATTAGGAATTGTTAGATAGACAAGTGGCTGATGTTGTCTTATAATGTTGCATTTAACATCGTGAAAGCGAAGACCACTACAAGATTATTGAATGTCCTGTCGAACATGTAATAAAAGCCCTTTGCGATCAACAATGTTTATTTGATATGACATCTGTTTAACTTAAAGATGGGTGAATGTGTGTTAATTGTTGAGCATATTAATGAATTCAATATGGTTGTTAGTCAATTGAGTTCAGTTGAGATTGGCTTTGAAGATGAAGTACGTGCTATGATTCTATTATCCTCATTGCCTGATAGTTGGAATACTACTGTGTTATTCCTATTAGTAATTCCTCTAGGTCAACAAGCTTGATGTTTGATGGGGTTTGCGATTTTATCCAATGTAAATAAGTCCCCGTATTTATAATATCTATGGTTCATAGAAGTAAAATGTTGTCCTATACTTCTTGGGTTTCTAATTGACCCGTAATAGATTAGTGGTGACTCTTAATTGAATTTTTTTTTGTCAGACTCTTAATTGAATTGATTTGCATGTTAAATTGATTAAATGAAACCCCAAAGTTGCGATTGGTATGGTATTGGGAGAGTCCGTGCTAAGTCTTTGGTTTAGTAATTCATAGCTTTCTCTTGGTGGTGCACCACCGAGAAAGTTGCGACAACCTAAAAAATTGTATGCATAGTGCCTATTTTTTGAAGGATTAAATTACATTGTTTTTGTTGTTTATGTTGTGAAACAGGCAATCCAACAATATTAATAAACATAATAAGGAAATAAATCGGATACCGAATCTACGTGATTTGGTCGATATACTCCACGGGGAGAGAGCAACACGAGATTCTACTATAGATCAAGAAATACAATATAGATTACAACTTCTTTTGATTTACTCAAACACTTTCAATATTTTCCATTTATCAAGTACACTCAATAATTCACATAACGTTTAGCTCTCATAATTCCTTATGAAAGAATAACCCGTAGTTTTTAGTCCTCACAAATATGATCGCTTGTTTTTGTATATATTGGTATTAGAGCCGGGCTCAGTTGATTTGAAATGAATTGACCGTGACATGAGGAGGAAAAATGATATCACGAGCATTTATTAACTAATTTGGAGCCATGCTCAATTCAATTGCGCAGGCTTATCTCACCATCGTCCGTTTCGAAAGAGAAATTTTGAAAAAAGAAGTTGGTAGTCGGAGTGTTCCCATATAAAAAGTTGTGTACCTTGTTAGACGAAATTAATTGCAGGATCTGGCATTTAAATCTAGATATCACGAGTATTGAATGAATTCAAAGAAAATCTAGTGTGTAACGCTTAAATTACGCGGCATGCATGACGCACACTGTTATATCATCCATTCAAATCAAGTGTGGTTGTTTAAAAATCATATAAAATTTGTGATATTGTCCTTTTATTAATCATCCAGAATATGCCAAAAAGTGCAATGGTCTAAAGGGTCGATGTTTAAAAGTCCAGTTCAAAATGGGAAAAATGTTAATTGCAAACTTAGAGCAAGCATAACAATAGCATAGCAACACAGAAACAGCAAATGAAAACACTATAATTGTAACGGTCTGAATTTTCGATCCTTTTCTCGGGATTTAAGAAATGAATTTGACCAATACACTATAGTGAGATCTCACCCGAAACAGCGCATTCACGGGATGCTAATCTTAGGGGTAGGGCTATTACGGGATTGAGTTCGCACTACCAAAGAACTCGATCTGGGTTCGACCTTTGACCATAAGGATTGACGAGGGAATGTTTTGGGCCAACAGAGACCGATCTAATTGATTGATCGTGTCCGAAGGGAACTAGTGACAGACCCTCGCAATTACATGACAATCGAGGTCGGCTTGGCTCAAGCAAACTTAAACGTGATTTGACTTAGTGTCGGTCACGGGTTGAGAGCGCGTAATCCCAATGAGCCACCCGTTAGCCAGAGATAAGCTAAAGTCGCGATTGTTCAATTTTAGTCATTTCTTGGAATTCGGGCCCGGGAATCGAGAATTTTGAAAGTGACAATTTTGAGCGGCCGATGACGTTTTTGGCTTGGCCAACCTTGGGGCCACCCATTTCTGCAAAAAAATGGATTTCGGTTCGGGACCGAAAAAATTACGATTTTGCCCTCGGGACCCCGATGTTGATTCTGAGGCCGTATGAGATTATTTTTCGAGGCCGATGTCATTTTAGGATGGCCACGCATATTTGGAGTGGTTACGGTCAAAAATTGGAATTTTGGCCCGGGAAAGGAAAAATTATTATTTTATTCCTCCGGATTCGCAGTCGATTTTCGAGGGCTTAGAAGGCTATTTTTACGAATCCGACACCATTTCTGAGTGGCCATACACATTTGAGGTTGGTACGGGCGAAAAATGGAATTTCGACTCGGGACCGGAAAAATGACCATTGTGCCCCTAGGCTAATTTTGGGGTTCCGAATTTTGGGCTATTTTGGGGATTAATTTAAGGCTATATTTCAGCCTAATAATTCAGCCTAGTAAATTACAAGAATGCCCCTCAATTATTGGATGAGGATTAATGTGAGCCAAGTATTTGAGGGCATTTTGGGCATTTAGGAAAAGTTGGTCCAACTTAGTCAAACCTCTCTCTCTCTCTCCTCCCATTCTTGTTCCCCAAGCTGGTCACTCCCTCCCTCTCACTCTCCCGTGTTCACTCTCTCTCTCTCTCTCTCCCGTCCTCCCCCTTGCTCGGCCGTGGACTCGCCGGAACCGCCGCACGCCGCCGCCGCTGCTGCTGCTGGTGGGCCGGCTACTCCAGCCCTTATCCAGCCCGTTCGTCTCGCCTTTCTTAGGTAAGTGTCTCCCCCAAAAACTACCTAGGACCTCGGGTATTTCTAGGCTCGTTTAGGACTCGGTTTAGGGTGAATTAAGTGGCTGTTTTGGGTTCAGATAGGGGCTGGAAATTGGTTGTGGTGGACTGATTTGGAGACTGAAAATATGAGGTTTGTGAGGTTCGGATAGGGCCGTGATGATACGAAACGATTACGGCTTGAATTCGTGTGATTTTGTGTGATTTTCGGATTTGTGACTACTGTACCCGTCCGGTTTGCTATTTTTGTGGAGAATTTTGGGGGCTGAATTTGAGGAAGTTTTCTTCATTAAAGTTGCTCCCAACATCTTGAAGTATAACATACTTTAATTTGGGAATTTTTGGAAATCATTTGAGGCCATTCGGAAGTCCATCTTTGGACCGAAACAAAAATGCCCGATTTACTGTTCGCCCGACCTTCTGGTTTGTTGGAATTTTTATAAATTTTTTCAGGCCTATTTTCAAAATACTCCCTTCACAAAAATTGTTGGGGACATTTGTGGTTATAACATATAAAAATTTCAAAGCTTTTCAAGGTGATTTGGGTGTTGAAAGAAATGTATTTTGAGGACAAAATAGTCTGTTAGACCGAACTGATTTTGGTCTGATTTCGAGGGACAAAAAGGCATGGTTACAGATTGAACCGGATTTTGTGTTCTTCATAAGAAATGTTGATCAAGATGTGTTTTATGATATATCCAAATTTTAGAATTTTTGGAGTTCGTTTACTATTTATTTTGATGAGGCAATTTTGTGGCTGTTTTGGGACTGAATGAGTGGCTGATCGTTTGGTGGTTGTGGACTGAATTGGCGATGAAAATTTGAGATTTAGGAAGCTCGGGTAGGGCTGTGATGTTGTGGCTGGATTGGGGGTTGAATTGTGCAATCGATCGGTGGGATTATGCTATGAATTGAATTGTGTACGTGGTTGTGTGATTTGTGATTGTGGGCTGATTTGGATTATGCTTGGGTTGAAGGTGGTGCGGTAATGTGCCGTAGGTGTGTGGCTGTGAGGTGTGGTGGTGTGATAGTGCATTCGCGTATTATATTCTCGTGCCAAGAATGTGTGATTGGGTGGCGTGTTTGTGTGACAAGAATGTGAAATTGTGAAATGTGTGTGTGAGGTGTGTATGTTTGACCGTGCGATTGTTGGCCGTGTGTAAGTATGGTTTGAGTGGAACGAGGGTATGGAAATGTAGGATTTGTGGTAAAGGATCCGTCCTGAGGTGTGTTCGTTTACGCGGAACGATGCCGTCCTTGACAAGGTGACGATGCCCGGCCCGACGGGGTGACGATGCCTGACGTGGTCAGAAGACCGTTGACCTGATGCGTTTTACGCGGACGCGGTAGAAGGAAAGTGTGTGTAGGATTCCGTCCTGAGGCGTGTTCGTTTAC